CGGCGCGGAGCCCCGCGGGGCGACGGGTGTTGGCGGTGTTCCCCCTCCCGCCCAGCGCTCCTGCGCTCTGCGCAGTCACAGGCCGCTGGGGCACCCGGCAAGACCCTACATGAAAAGGTCCTGCGCTTTTCTGGGTATTAAAGCTGCATTTCACTGTTCTAAGAAGCTTGATGAAGTATTAAGCTTGATGTTCGGGCAAAATGCCAAGTTACATAATTATATTATTCCGCTTCCCCGAACTGTCCTTTCAATTTCAAATGGAGATGATATAGTCCTTCTCATAGGGTAGTTTCCCCATGAATTGTTGAATAGCTGCTGCATTCCAGCAGTGAATAAAGCAATTTCTCTGTGTTCAGCTCTTAACCGTGTATTTATAGTGGAGTGACAAAATGTCAAATTCTGTAGTGAAGACTCAGATGCAAAGAGTTCTTCATTAGGTGGGTCTACTTTGCATTTTTTTCTTTATTAACAAAAATGTTTACCGTAGTAACTCGAGAAAATATCTAATGGACTAATAATTTCTACTGTAGCTGTGCATCATCCACATTTTTCTATCTATCTTCTTTACAGGTACATAAGCACAAAATTAAAATGTGACTTTGCTGTTGTGCATATTGTTAGGAGACAGAGGATTGCTTTTTTCTTTCTTTTACTGCACAGTGTAGCTGAATGCAAAATTTGGCTGAAATATTTTTTTACATGTGACAATATAAGAAATGCAAGAACTAGCCTCGTTCTTAGATGTCAAGCTGAACTTGCCTTCCAGAAAACTACTTGTGGTCAGTCTTCTCACACCAAAGAAACAGGAGAAACACCTAGCAGTGTCCTGTGCTCAATACAAATCTGTAGTAGTTGCCAAGACCCAGCTGCTCCAGTCAGTGTAACCGCAGAGCAGCCGTTGCGGTGTGTCTGTCCGGGGGCTAACAGAGCTGTTACACTCTCGGGGCAGCAGAGGAGCTTTGCCACCCCATTCTTTTCCCCGGCTGGGTCAGACTGTGTGGGAGACGCAAGGAGTAGCATCAACTCACAGATTTGGGGCATGTTCTGACATCGTTTACTGCTGCTTTCAGAGAAATTTTTGGTGCTTTGTCTTGCTAGAAATCTTGTTTTACGTGGTACTTTATTTTGTAGTAAACTAGCGACAGGTCTGAAGAAACCTTCACTTCCCATTTTCTAAGCCTTGCAGGGTGCTAGCACCCAGAGAAGAGAAGAGAACGCGGTGCCACCGCCTCAAGCCAGCAGTAAGCTTGAGTTAAGGAAACTTGAGTTTGGAAGATAAGAAAGGTTGAAGACAGCTTTTGGACAGCCAGTTGTGTATTATTCTGCAGCTCTATTGAGTCATCAGAAGTTTTTGAATGGCAGTAGTTAATGGAAGGCAATGGCACTTCTATTTTTGATGCAGGTAAATACCTGCATGAACAGTTAACAGAATGGATCAGTTACAACAGGTGCTCTGCTGGAATGAAAGGCTTAAATTTCCATTATTAGAACTGGTTTTACCTCCTCCCAACAGTTCTTCCTTAAAACTTACTTTTGTTTGCTGTTCTGCTGGAAGTTTTCATTTTATTTTAAGTATTTGATGCTCCTCAGTAGCAGGCTGTACATCACAAATAGCCTTAGACCAGCAAGTTTTTTACTGTTTATAAGGCTACTTGAAAATTGTTTTTAAAAGACATTGGAAAAATATAGATGTCAATGGTGAACAATTATTAAAGGAAGATTTAGAGTTATATTTTTACTGTTCTGGTACCTCGCTTTGTCAGTAGGATTTAGGTGTACTTGATACATCTTAATTATATACAATTTCTAATTAGAAAAATGACAAAGCTGCAAGTGCTTCTTAGTGTGGTAACATAATATGTAATCATACATAAATGTATAAGTGAGTTTATTATTAACTGAGTTAAAAACACTGCAAACTTTTGAACAGTCATGAATAATATTGATAGTCTTCAAAAAGTGTACTGTGCACTTCTCTATTTGCCAGGCAATAGAATTAGCTCTGAGTATTAGAATATACCTATACACTTCTCTGGCTTAACTTGGGAAATCTGGGAATTTCAAAATGAAGTTACAATTTTTATGGGTTATATCATAATGAGATCACATTTTTCATTGAAGACACAAATTAATTATAAAAATAGTGCTGTGTGGCTGATTATTTTCAAAGTGAAAACTGAGGCTGATACTACTAGTGCCTCAACAAGAAGATCTTATTGCCAAAATGGAAAGGAAAAAATAGGATAGCTAATAGGGCTACTGCAACAGCATAGCAATATTTTAGATGTAACATTGCTATTGCTCTTGATTTCTTAATGTACTTCTCAGTCTTTGATCCAAAAATTTGCCCATATCTTTAGAATTAGTACTATTTATTTACAAAGTTTGAGATTATTTTAAGCATACTTTTATTTTTCTGGATTTTAAAAAATCATAATTCTTTTGGTTATTAATACCTTCAAAGCTGGCATGGTTAAAGCTTTTACTTTGTTTTAACAAAACTAAGCTTTGATTATTATAATACAGTAGAAAATTATGGATTGACTGCTCTTGTTCCATTTAAGTGTAATTTCTTTGAAAGCTGTTAGAGAAGTCCTGAATTCATGCGGTGCATTTATAGTGATTACTTTTCAATTAACTGTAGCAAATATTTTTAATACAGCTCTGTGTTAAGGAAGATGGCCTCATCACAGAAGGAATATCATACAATATAGAATATGCCTATTTATCTGCCACAGAAAAGTTGGTTCTTTTGTTGGGGGCTTATAGTGCATTTAATGATAAATCTGATAGGAAGATTCAGTCTTAAAGCTGCTCATGGAAAATGAGAACAACAAAAGATGGTATTTCAACAGCCATCTGTCAGCTGAAGCGTAAACAGTATTGGTACATAGGTGAGATTTCACACTGAAGCAGCCTTCCAAGAGCATTTCTCACCAGGGCTGCGTTGTGGTGGATGCATTTTGAAAATGCATGTAGTTAGAACTACTTCTCACTTCTTGGCTACTATGAGGATCACCTAGAACTACACTTTCTAATTACTTTCTTAAACTTCTGGTAGAAGGGTAATAACCTTACCCAAATGTATTTTTGATGTTTATAGAATAGAAAACCAAAGTATGACATGAAACCTTTGACAAGAGGTTTAATGATATTTAATGCCTTAATTCAAAACAGTATGCATATACTGTTGTGAGGAAATCTAAGAGTAGTTAGAACCCGTGATAAACTTTATTATTTGAATGCTACTAAAAAGGCAATAATGCATGGTATATAAAGTGATGCAATGATGCACTACTGAGCATGCAAAATAACTTAAAGCAAAAGATACGGAGTTCATTGTTTTGCTAACTTGACAACAGCTTAAATGTCAGCATGAGGTTATTTAATTCCTAATTGTTTTTCCAAAAACCACAAGGAGGCTAATCTATGTTTATTATATTGTGATAGAGGGCTACAGATAACTTTGCTGCCACAGCGGCATTATGCGTTTAGCCTTATTCTCCAACCGTTTGAAAAAGACAGGAAAATATACTGAATTGTGCTTCCTCTTAATTATGAAATCCATTATTACTTTTGCTGTTGGGAGCAAATTCTGTAGGGTTCAAGAAGTCAATAGCATTAAGTATTTATCTTAAAAACCTTACCTTTTAATGCTGCTCTAAGAGAAATATTACGGGTGTGCATTAAGGAAACATGCTACCCTGTATAGTAACAGTATGTAATAGGGAAGTCTCCTTTGTTGGCATCTGATCAGTTCCTATCAGGGAGATCTAGTAAAACTTCATAGCTTAGTAGACCACTTCAGTGCTTTTCTGAATTTTGGCTTGGTGCTGCTGTATGAATGGGTGACTGTTCAGCACTGCCACGGTAACAAATCATTTGACTGTGGTTCAGGGTGGGGGTAATCAGTTCAGCTTTGTACCTGCTCTCTTTTCTGTTCCTGTATTGACAAGCAAAGGGAGTGTTACAGGACTGCAGGTTATGGTGCAAGTGCCAGAGCGGAGGAGATACCTGCTGCAGAGGGGATTACCTGCAAGAACCACACTTTTGAGAAAGTGTGCTCTAGTTTAAGAAACAGTATTTATTAGGAATGCAAATTGACAGATTTAAATGCACAATTAATCATGTAAACTCATATCATTAAGGAATAACTTTAAATTAAAGCATGGTTATTTTTAGATACTCTTCCAGGATCCAAAGTACACTGAGCAATTTTAATTTTATCACCATTTTAAATATATGAAGTTGGGCTACTTGTCTTACGTAATTATTAAAGCCTTATGGAATTTGGGCGTAGTAGTGTACATAGATAATGTACATTGCTTATTCTGAGTGTCCTATTATATCCTTAATTTAATCTTTGTATGTCTCATCTCTTAGCAATAAACCTTAGTCAATCATCATTCTCCTTCCACACCGAAATGTTTAACTTCTTTAAAACCAAACCAAACCCAATACCTTTCTTATTAAAAAAAAAAAAAAAAGCCTTTCATAATTAGTTTAGGCCTTTCTAAAATAAATATCATTAAATTATAAAAGCAGTTTATGTAATGCTGATACATTTTTAATATTTTTATTTTTTAATGCGTTGTCTTCTTACTAGAACTAACACACATAAATACTGCATCTGTTCCATGATGAGCTACAGAACTAGCATTAACATTGCAGTTTCTTTTCATTCTCAAGTTCCTAAATTTTTTAACTATTGAACATATGGATTTAAACAAAGAAAAATACAAAATACTTTAGGTTGAGCACCTTTAGTACAATCAAAATAATGAATGATCAAGTCATCTGAGAAATTGCTCAAGGTTAATTTTCAGAAATGCAGACTATTTTGCAGGAATGTACAAATGACAAGATCAGTTAAAGTGGTACAAAGTATTCTGCTTCCTAAAATTCTGAACTTTTATTTACACAGCTTTCTTTCTGTCAAATATTATTATAGAATCGGTGGTACGTAAACAATGGTACATGCAATTTGATCCCTTTACTAAGAAAAATAAATTTACAGTTCTGTTAAATAAAGACCAAATACTATTATATACAGTCCATTAACTGAAAGGCCTTGTGAGACATTCAGGTCTAATTTTAATATTTTCCAAATAAATACCAAATAACACAACATTTACAAGTAGCACACCACCAGTACTTTCACAGTAATAATTTTACAGATCAGAATTTAGTATTTCAATTAAAGCAAATGAGTAGCAGCTCCTTCATAAATATTAAGGCATGTCACATAGCATCAAAATGGAACCGATGAGCCTCCTGTCGCTTTTCTCTGTCATCTGCTTTCTGAAAAATAATAATAAAAAAACCGCTGTGTGTGATCTAGAGCAATACCATTACAGAAATGAGTTGTCAAATGTCAGAATGGCTGATTCTTTCCAAGTTACTAATTTGACAAAAGGCAAAAAGCTTAGTAAAAGCCCCAATAATTAGCTTTTAAATGATGTAATTTTGAAATAGCAATAATTTACTCCAAAGTGGCTTCTGCTCAGCTGTTTTTGTATTTATGACTTATTATTTTATATTATTTCTAATAACACTTTTAAAAAAGGAATATTTCAAAACTGAGAATGTTTCCTAGCATGCATTTACTTAGTCTGCATTAGAATTATGAAATTGAATTAACAATAAATGTCATCTATGTTACACTTAAGATGAGATTTAAAAAAAACCCACAACCTGCTAAATACAAACTTAGACAAAAATTGCAGTTCTACCAGCAATTAACAGTGTGGAAGTAGGCTAAAAATGTTCCGTGTTTTTGTTTACATTACAAAAAAGCGAGGGAAAATGCATCTCCCTGCTTATTTATGCAGAACACACATAGATCTACTGAAAGAGTACTTTGGATGGTGCTTGGAAAAAAGAAGCAGATTTAAATTGTACCTATAATCCATGTAATGTGTAAAAACATGCGCTCTCCCCCAAGTCTCCTCGTGTTCTAAAGCAGTAACAGTATGAAAGCACTTATTAAAGGATTTTTGGACACAATGTGAACTTTTCTAGAAAAGTGTTTTTGTTATGACAGACAGTATGTGTAAATCTCAGCATATGAGAATGTAGTAAAATGGATTTAAACGCTTTTTAGCTTGCTTACACCTAACTTTTTTTTAATGAGTAAAATGATGAAAAACCTTTATAGTATGCTGTTGTGTGGGCAGTCAGATTTGTATCTCAGTTGATAAATATAGATGATGATTTTGGTAGAAATCATGCATGTGTTATGCCATGAATGTTTCTCATCCATTTTGGCTCAAGGCCAAAGATTCCCTCATCACACGACGTTTATCTATGATAGCAGCTCCACTGGATTAACTATGGATTTTACTGCATTTTGTGGCAGCAGTAGAGCTGTTGGTGAATTCAAGAAGTATCAGTCTGTTTTTTTGGCAGGGACTTTATCAATGTGAGTATTATTTTGAATTTCAAAATTGGGGTGGGAAGAAGGGAGCGGCATACTCTTTCTACATTGAAAAGCTTGTCACCTTCCATGAAATTTTACAGTCTCACTTAGAAAGCAATTTTTGCTCCATTTCTTGAACGCCTCCTGAAAAAAATTACTACTTCAAATTTGACAGTAACTGATACTCTGAGGAATCCATCAAAACTTTTCTAGCAGTATTATCATCAATGTGTAGTGTTCACATGACTAACCTCAAGACCACAAAGGCAGTTATGAAGAATCAGAATACAGGAATATGAAGGTCCTTAGCTAATGGAGCAGACTATATTTTTTGTAAGAATGGTGCAAAATTTTCCTCGATTTCTCTTTCATTTGATGTATCAAAACTAAAGCTAGGAACTGAGATTTTAAAGCTTTTTTTTTTTTTTTCTAAATGGATCCAAAAATTCTAAAGAATGACAGAGCAACATACTGTGCCCCAAACCTACAGTTATTTAAACCATGTAATACTTGGTCGGCAGCTGAGTGTTTAAGGACCGTGTCAGAAAAAGGGCTCCTATTGCTACTTATCTGCAGTGGTCAAAGTACATGGTTCACTTTAACTGCTGAATAAACCACTGCAGCTTACAGGCATGTATATCCTCTGGGGAAAAAAAAGGAGATTGTAACTCCCCTTCCTTTCTTTGCTATAGATACTCTAGAGATCTGTAAGAGAAAGCAGCATTTAGGCAAAACAGTACTTCTGTGAGAGGATTACTGGAAGAGGCAGTAAACTAAGAACAAGCTTAGAAACAAGGAACTCCGGAGTTTATCTCCCAGTCATGTCAGCCTCTGTCAAGGTTCTTATTTGTTCTCTACCTCAACCATTTCTTCTAAAAATTGGGAAGGTAAAAATCAATAGGAAGGCACTGGAAAATTATAGGAATTAACAAATGTTTATACAATAGTCTGAAAATACATAAAATTTTTTGTCCCTGTTTTGAGCAAGGTACAGCAGCTGAACTAAGTTTATGATATAACCAATACACTGCTTCATTCACATATTAGACTAGATATAAAGATTTCTTTTACATTGAGTGTGATTAAGCACTGGCTTGGGTTGCTCAGAGAGGTGGTAGAAGCCCAATCCTGAGAAACATCCAAGGTCAGGTTGGACGGGGCTCTGAGCAAACTGATGTAGTTAACGATGTCCATGCTCAGTGCAGGGGGATAGCACTAGATGACCTTTAAAGGTCTCTACCAACCCAAACCATTCTATGATTCTAATGGGGTTTAAACATGGCTCAGAAAGCACTTACTATGGGCTGAGTGCTTCTTGACATTACAATACATGACTTATTGTTATATGAATAACTGTTTTGAATGTTGACATTAAATCTCTGTTTCTCCAGATAAAGATATACATAGTTAGTCTTTCCCCAACTCAAAGTCCAAGTATTTTTTTCTGCTACTCTTGTTGCTTAAGTTGCGTCAGAGATGGGAGTTAAACCTGGCCAGTTCATAGTCCCAGCCAGCAGTTAGCAGTGCCTTCCTAGTACAGGAGGACATGCTAAGGACAGTCATCATAAGCTTTGTACTGCTTTGCTCTGTGTGATTTATTCCCAGCTTTACTATTATTTGGAGACTGCATTTAACATTTTCAAGAGTGAAGACTGACAGACAAATAATGCTCAAATATGAAGCATGCGCAAACCATGCTTCAACAAGCTTTAACAAGGTCATTTTATTTCCACAAGCACAAAATAACAAACACTTCCACCCTGTCAAAATGTGCAGTAATTTTATTTGACAGCTAAGATTATAGTTTGGGTATGTAGTAGCATTTATTGACCATCCTACCAGTTGGGTATGACTGTGAACTAAGCATAGTTAAGAAAAATGGGAACGCGTTTCTTTTGTGACATGAAAGGCCCCCTTCAAAATGCTTCTTCAAATCAATGGATTTCTGTACACTGCATGTATAATTCAGACACACAGAGCAAAGCAGCCAATATACACACAACTGACTCCCTATACAGTCTCGAATGCTAATGTCAGTGCAATCAGCAAAGACAGAGACAGAAAAAGAGACATTTTACTTATTTTTAGACTACCAGCAGAACTCAAGTAAACTGAGTTAGTGTTCCATTTTCTAAAACAGTACTCCTTAAAACTCTGCAAAATAGAAAGCTTAGATATGAAACAAACCCATCTCATTTAGCTGGGAATAACAGCTTAATGGCAAAAGCTTATCCATGTCGCTCTTCATTTCCCTTTTTAAGTGTCTTAGAGCTTAAATAAAAACAATGCCAATTTTTAAGCTTGCAGTAAATACTGAATTAATAATAAATACTCTTTAGGAATGAATGCAGTCTATAGCAGAAATTATACTGTAGAAAACTACTCAAAAATCCCAATATATGAGACTGTAAAATATTAGGATGTGTTAAATAGTATAGAAAACATAGAAAATAACCTAGTTAATTAATCTTACCTTTTCTTGCCAGTGTAATATGCCAATTATTGCCAGGATGAAAACGCAGACACCAATTAAGGCTATAGCTGTTAGCAGCACAATGTTACTTGGGGTCAGATACAGCTTGGCACTCCAGCTATACAAAAGAAGAAAATCCAAGGAAACATGAATACCCTTCATTAGGAAGCAGAAAACAGATTTAACTTATAAAAATTAAAAGAACCTGGTGGTATGAGACATGTAACAACTTCACCTGTAGAAACTAGTGGCTATACTTTAAGAGACTGAAGCTTAATTGTAGTTACTTGGAAATACATGGTTTAATAAAGTTATTTTCAGGTAATGCCATGTCTAAATTAAGTTTCTGTTTAACTTTCTTGAATGCTTTGGGTATCCTCAGGAACTGACTTTTTTCTGATTAGGAGATTTATTTCCTGCCCCTGCCCAAGGCAAAGTAAAATGCATAAGAAAACCTTCCACAAAACTGCATGGGGCTTGGGGAGATGGAGAAGCAGGGTGAAGTCAGTCTATGAGACAGATTGTCTCCTCCACATGAGGAGCTCCTCTTAGACAGGCTTGTGGGGTCCAGCTGGTTAGGCATCTCTCAGTCTGAAGTTTACCCAGGGACAACCGCAGTTGTAGGCAACTTACCAGTTGATTCTGGCAGGGGAACACTGGAGAGCAACAAAATTAACCACTCTAATGGCTTCTGGAAGATACCCCTCAAATGTTGCGGGGTCCTGAGGCTCAGTTTTTGTAATACTGGCTTCCTGCCATGGGAAAACTGTCCGCAGGAGGTTCTATGTTGAGGCAGCACTGAGGCCTCTCAGGAAAACAACGTAACTATACGAAACAAGATTATAAATTTGAGAACTGTTTATTATGAAATCTGACTTCTTCTGAGGATTCTATCCTCTGCTATCCTACAGTGTCCATAAACTCACTTTACAGGAAGTAAAAAATAATTTAAGAATAAGACACCAGAATTTTTTTTTTTTTGCATAAGACATACCTTTAAATACCTCAAGACTATAGCTAGATTTTCCTCATCTGGCAGATGCTGTTCCTGTGGTTGTTAATTAGCAACTCAAGCAGCACATCACTTCTCAACTGTTATTTGTCCTATAGTAAAATTAACTGCTGGAACTGATGTCAGAATCACTTCTGCACGATAAATGCAGCTGACCTCACTAGTAGACCAAGCGGCAAAAAGCTGCTGGAATACGTGACTAACGTCTACTCTAACAGCAGAGCTGGAAATGTGTTCTTGTTCTGGGGTGAACAGTTAAATTGCAAAGTGAATTCTGTGTTCAAGCTCTTGTGTAACCAACCCATTCACCTTTACTTCAAGAAAATAATTCGTACCTGTGGCAACAGATAGTGGTTCAGAAGGGCTGAACTAAAACTTTCTTATGCAACTAGACAGAAATTGCATATTTGGTGAAACACAAATGCTTGCTTCAGTCATTACCGTGCTTGCAATTAGTCCAAGAGAACGTTGGTGCATCTAGCAAATATGTTATTATTTACAGAGTTGAGCTGGTAATGCATTGTGATTTTTTGCACAAGCTGGTAATAGATTTTGATTGTTTATAGGGACTATCTATGAGTCTGTGTAATACTTGAGAAGTATTCTGCCTGGTCACAGAGGCAACTACATCTATAGAACTGACTGCCCCAGCAGTGCTCTTAAATTTATTTTCTATACAAGTGACTATTTTTAAACCTACACATAATGCCTAAATTAAACTCTGTATTAATGTAATTTTGTGACGTGCAAATCAGAACGATGAAGTTACCTTCGAGGAACATTATGAGGATAGGGGATGACTATAAGCTGGGAGTTGGGAATGACAGCTGTCCATTCTTGTCTTCTTACAGACTGAAAGAAAAACAGAGGCTGTGTCAATTCCTAATAAACCAACATACTTAAAAGCAAAGAAATTATCTGCTGAAACATACAAAAGAAGAAACAAAACCCATTTTTTTTTAAAAAAATTAAATATAAGTGATAATTCCCTTATGTTTGTGCAAGCCTTTTACTCTGAAACCTCCAGAGTGCTTTAAAATAAAAAACAACAATGAAGTAGAAAGTAAAATAACTATTGCTGACATGAACCAGCATCTGCTTTAAAAGTACAAAGCACTGACATAATAGGGAAGGAAGAAAAAAACCAATTTTACAAAGGAGGCAGAGGAAGCAATTATCCAAATCGGATTTTGGCCAGCAGACTCATTTGAATACTTCACTTTTTAAAGTAGTACCATCAGATCTTTAAAGACTGAAAATGGTCAGGACCCTACTTTTATGTTTCATCTGAAGATTAGATAATCATGGTAATCTCCACCTCCCATCATACTGATTATGGTTTTATCACTCTGGCAGAAAAGATTATGTGAATTTGCAGGCCAGCCAGACCAAGTCCAGGAAAGTCTTAACAGCTGAGACTATAATAATTTGACTCTCATATCTAATCCACATTTAACTTATAGACAAGCACTATATACCCATGCTAAACATTTACAGACACCTTTGGTGACCTTTTGGTCTTACTGTTAGCTTCAGAGCCTATATACACCCCAAAAATCAGACATACAGGGTTTGTTCTGGCACTTTTCTGCATTCAAACGTACTACTTTGATATTCTTGCTTCTGGGAAATAAGTGTCCCTAGCAGTATTTCCATCTAAGCTCAAGTAGGAAAAGTAACACCATAAACATCAGCTTGACAATCTTAAATCTCAACTAACCTTTTCTCCCAAGGGACGAGGAATGCCAACATACAAATGGTCAAGGAAATTAGCGCTGCGCCCCAAGCCTAACACGTTGTATGGCAACTGGAGAGCAAAATGTGCTGACTGGCTAAGCTGTCCAGCTGAAATAAAATTAGAAAAGAAGCCCAAGTAGGTATTTGGGAAAAAAAACCCAAACAAACAAAACAAAACCAAAACAACCCCAAACCTTTTACATAAATATACATTTCAGTGTCTGTAATGAAAATATTTTTAAAAAATTAACCAACTACATGATTCTTTAATTCTTAAAAGGGTCAATCCCCTATTTCCAAACTGCTTGTGGACACTCACTTGGAGAATAGCTTAAATACTTTAGAATTCTGGGCAAAGTGACTCTTTTGAGCACCATTTCTATGTTAAACTGAATCTCTACTATTTTTTACAAATTGAGAAATAAATCAGCTATTTCCATTTATTTTGATGTGAGTAGTGCCAAGTCTTCTTCCCCATTGATTAAAAAGCTCAGACTCAACATGTGAAGTTCACTTTAATTCTTAGTAGTGTTTTTATCAGTAACTACTGGGTTTTCTTGTGTCACAAAATTAGCTAAGTAAATGATCACAAACAAATTCTCAAATAATAAATTGATTTAATGAAAACATCATTACAGTGGTTGCAAGCTAGACCCTAGTGAGAGAATGTAATTATAAATAACTAAAGGAGGAACTGTAGGGGGAAAAAAACCCATTCATTTCCTGAAAAGACAGTAGGGAAACATAAGCATTGCATCTATCAACAGGTTCACTAACATCCCATCTATGAAGTATCTAATTGTTTCATTTAAATAAAAATCTTGTAATCTTTTCATTTCTGTTAAACTGATTCAGATCTGATGTAGAGTCTTCATTCAGTGTCTAGAAGGCCTCTTAGTAAATTATCTGGTTATGCAGCAGGAATGATGTTGGTCCCTCATAAGCATCACATTGAATTCAGCCATTCACCAGATTAATAGAAATTAGTTGAAGGGAGACTTGAGAACCACAGGTAGGTTTATAGGATCAACAGAAACAGTTTTTCACAAAGATATGATGTAGTCAGTATTTTATCAGTGCTGGAGTTTTGTCTGCTTTGACACCTGACAGTTTATGTCTGAAATTAGAAATTACAAATTAAGTGACAAAATGTAATAGAATGTGAATTAAAGAACATGAATTCACAATTTGTAATGAATTTACAGCCAACTCCTTTCTACCTCTGCATACTTCCTTCCAAGGCTCAATTCTGAAAGTTATTGTTTCAGACAACTGGCTCTTGGCCATACCAGTTGCACTGCATCTTGCACAACTGCAGTGAACAGAGGTGGGGGAGAAATGCCCAGACCACAGCCACTACAACTCCTTTGGCAAAGCCAAACATCCCTTTGAGAGGAAACAGAAACAAACTCCCATTCTTGGCTCCTGCAGATAGCCTGATAAGTGCAAGCATTCCTTTGCCACTATAAGGCTGCACTGACGCTAAGGGACTACCAAGACACAGCACCTACTTTTAGATGCAGTTCTGGGGCTTTTGTATTCTCTTATGGGGGACAAACTACTTTGAATACTGGATGATGATAATTTTGAATTCCTATTCAATAAAACAATTACTTCATGGTTCTATTTTCTGAACCTCCCTGACCTCCCTGGTTTTTTTTTTTTAGGAAGAAGCCTGACATATGCTGTCAGGCATGTTTTGAAACAAGTCTGTTTAATAAGGTAAATATTCTGTATTATTGCAGTATTATAAATATACTTAGATGAGATCTGAAAAATCAGCTTGATGCAGTTACCTTTTTATTAAGTTAAAATACTATTAGCAAGAAGAAACAGTAACAGTCTTCTTAAACATTAGGAATATTTTAGATTTACTTTTTCCCTATGCAGAACCATGTAATGAGCAAGTGGATGTGGAAACACTTAAATAGGATTTTGTACTTTCAGTCCTCTCTTGTGAGGGCAAGGTGTGCTGTGTACATTGTTAGGTGAATTCTTAGATTACAGAATGTGGCAGAAAGCATTAGCCGAGCAGCTTTTCTCTTTAAGAATAGGGATTTTTCCACTAAGTTGAGATACCAGTATAGGACTTGAATCTTGAGTCTGCTCCTACTTTGTCACTGAATTCCTTGGCTAAATTGCTCAGTCTCTAGGTCTCAGTTTCCAAATCCAAAGTTTAAGTAATCCTCAAACTGAGTTAAGCATGTAATATCTGAAAACACTGGTTACCAATATGAAAGTATCAAACAGCAAAGGTAGGTTTATTAAATATGACTTTGTTATGAAAACAAACAAGGTATGTATTACTTGATCATGGTATAACATAATAAAGAATTTTCTTTAACAATTTATTTCACTAATGCTGAATTCTGAAGAACTTTTCCCCAAAGAACCACATACTACTGTAACATTTAACATTGAAAAGCTTTTAGAATGACTTTTGAGTGAATTATTTAGGATTATGAGACTGCAACTGAGCTCTTCCTTTTTTTCTTTCATCATACAAATTAAATGAATGTCAACTAAAATTAAAGGAAATCAAAGAACATGTCATACACTGTCTGCAGTCAGCCTTAAAGAGGTTAGAGAGTCAGATACTGCAGCTAGAATTCTTAAAAGCACTGAATAATTTCATGGCTCCTAATGCTGGTTCTTGTGCCTACCAAGATAAGGATAATTAAAGCCTGAGCTTCAGGATGTAAATAGATCACTTGCAAAGGTCAGAAAGGAATGTTTTCTTCTGCACAGCAGGCAGAAAATGTGCACATATCCTTGTTTTATTTGTCTTTAAAATTAGGAGATACTAGCCAAGCAGGATGATAGCATATAGAAAGTTCTAGTTTACTTTAAAGCTGACTATAAATATGAGATCTTTGAGAATATTTACTGCTTTATTTCCTCAATATCTCTTATGAATTCTGTAAAAGTTTGATAGTTACTCAAATGTTCCATTTAGAATTGCAGACAAGTAATTAAGAATGACAAGTGTTCATCTGAGAAACATAAAAGCCCTGAACAAAGATTAAAAATAAAAAGAGAAATTACAGAGAGTACTGTCAACAGGTTATTGTCATATGTGAAGTTATCAGTCACTGGTAACTAATTTACTTGTGAAAATATTTAAAATGTAATTTAAATAGCACCTCTAGCTATTTGCCCTGTTGTAAAACTTCTATAACAATTTTTCTGCTTGTTCCAAGAAGATTTGAAAATACCATTCCCTCTTCAAGAAGGGAAGTGGGATTTACTTCTTGTGCCAAGATTGTTTTTTGAGCTTTTTGAAGTCTGTGCAAGCAAGATGGTATTGGTATAGCTGTTGGTGTTTATATTTTTAGTTTTAAACCATAAGCCACTACGTTTATGGCTTCAAAAACCTTGGGCAAAGTAAAAAACTTCAACACTTTAAGACATGGTGTTCGGTCATTTTAGCATGTCAGAGACCAAATTTTTACTAAATAGCTGATGATGTTGGGCAGCCAAACCTTACAAAATTTTGTGGAGTTTGATATTCAGAAATTATTATGAACATCTGTGAATCAATCTCCTTATTTTTGAAGTATGGCGTATAAAATTTTGAAGCAATACATATCATGAACCTTCAGAAAGTCTTGTCTGAAAAACAGAATGATATGTCATCTACAACATACAGTACTTTTTCTTTTATACCTGAAATAAGGCATTTCACTTCTGTTTCCATTATATTGATGTAAACTTGCTGAAAGCTTAAGAGTAGCCACTCTGCCCTGGGTTAAATTGTGACATCCTCAACAGCTTATTTGAACAGCTTAAATGAAGCCAATTTAACTTTAGAAGAGGAGGTGACTGCATTTACATGTAGAAGCAAGACTTTCTATTGTTTCTTTAAATGGAACTGATAATGTATGATACTGGATTTATGAGCAGTCTAGTTGAACCTATATCAACATATTCACAATACTGATATTGTTCAGTCAGCTTAAATAAGCTTATTTGTGCAATGATAGAGCAGAACACACAAGATCACAACATGGAGTTGAAGAACTAACGGAAACTCTGATTTCAAACTTCTGGTCTCCTGAAGCACCATCCATGTAAATTCTTTTATTATGCTTTTCTTGACAAAATATAATTTGCATTTAAGTCGTCCATTAAAGCCATTCAGATTAATTCAAAATACAATAATAATATTTATGCTTTCAGAAGTCCCCCAAATTCAATATATTAGAGAACTGAATAGCTAAATGTATTTTCATAAATAAAAATTAAGAAATTGCATGAATTGCTGCACAGCTGTGAACAACATGCATGCAACAGCTGGAATAAGACAAAGCCAGTTCAAGAGTTATATAAAATTTCACACTAAACATCCCTCACTTAAGCTGCACAATTGAAACACTACCATGATATTTACTTTACAACAATTATCAGTATTGTGCTAGATTCCACACCAAAGTGTTTCCCCATCCTTTGAAGCTGACAGCTCCTTATGTATTTGAAAATATGATGGAACCTCTTACTGCAAAAGGGGAAAATATCACCAATAGTAATGAAATACCTGTGTAATATACATAAGAATTTATAAAGCAGCTTTGGGGGAAAAAACCCAAACAAATAAAAACAACAAACCAAACCACAATAAACCCCCAAAACTCTAAACTTAAAAACTTTTTAGAAAGTTGGAGAATTTGATTTCCTTGGCTTTAGTGGAAAGCTTTACTTGGTTCCCTTATTACTGCCTTCAGAGTTGTAGTTTGCTATAGGAAAAAAATGCAGTGGAGAAAGAGCTCTTTTTCTGCTTAAAATTATGCAATGGTCACTTCAGCTTTCTAAGGGCTGAGAATGTTTCCCTCCCTTTACTAGTCCAGACAAAAGGGAGCACTAGGTTAATGCAGTACACAACTTCACCTCTCAACTTTCTCTGCAATACCTTTTTCCAGAGTTACACAAGGAACTGGGGGAAAGAGGATTGAAAGTGTACACTTGCAACTTCGGTGCCTATTACTTGCAGTGCTGCTAACACTTGTTATACTTCTGAAAGCCCAGCCTCCAAATCTGATACATTTATATGAGAATACATGTTTTCATTAAGAATGACTTTACACCATAAAATTCTAGAAGTAAAACGAGAA